GTACTTTTGCTATAACCCGGCCTCGGATATTCACGTGGAATCTATCTCGTATGGCCCTAGAGATCATCGACCTTGCTTTAGTCCTGCTCGTTTTGGTCGTAAATGCCTTCATTGCGCAGTAATACCTGGCTAATTCGACAAGGTTCTTCTTCCTTAGGCCTAGACCGTTTCCTTGGGTTTTTGAACATCCCGATCATCTCATCGCGAAGAGCTAGGACAGCTGGTGAAGCCTCCGTAACTCTGAGCAGAGTGAACATCCCGACCATCTCATCGCGAAGAGCTAGGACAGCTAGTGAAGCCTCCGTAACTCTGAGCAGAGTGACCCTCCCTTCATTTTCGAAACATTTTTTACAGTTACGTAGTGGTCTGGTCCTATTCCCGTATTTAACTCTGCTCTCGCCGAACAGCCTTCGCACGACCCGCCATCCATCAGCCCAAGTATTACCCCCATTACAAAAGAGAACCGCTCCCCCTTTCCGCCTCGACAACTGCCGCAGTGTCTCCAAAACTCTAACCGTTCCTACTTTATTTCCTTCCTGTCGAACTTCCAAGATCTTCGCGCTCTGCTTCTGATAAGCTACTATTCTTGTGCCATCATCTTTCCGCCACTTCCTCCTTTCCTTCTTTCCCGATCTGCGCTTACTTTTCTTCGGCGCTTTTCTTACCTTAATTGATCTAATGTTTAACGCTGGTGACCAGTGTCTAATCAAGGTATCCTCCACCGCTTCCAATTCCGAACGATCCTCGCTAGTAAAAAGAGGTAGAGCAACGTAACGATGAGCACCCACCTTCCCCAACCAGTTGTACAGCTTCCTCCTCCGCTTGCTACCCCTCTGACTGTGACTAAAGTGCTCACGCTGTCTAGCCCATAACCTTCTCTCGGTAAGCCCGATGTACGTCTGCTTATACCAAGGCGATATTAGCAGATATACACAGCTACGTGGTTTCGTTAGTTCGAAATTGCCTTTCTTCTCTTCGTCTCCCCAATACTCTACAAATTTCTCGCCCCATTTTAGTCGTCCTTCTAGGATCAGTCCAATAGTAGCAGCACACAAAATCCTTTCATCATCTCTTACTTCGTCCGTGGTTCTGCTACGTTCACATACTCGTTCAACAATTTCAAGATAGTCGTCGCGACGACAAGGTTCTCATTCCGATCCCTCCTCGGAATAGGACTCACCGGAGTCGGAGAAATCAGCGGCCCCTTCGTCCTTGACCTCCTTGATAACTACTCCCTTGGTGCTTCTGGTCCCGGTGCATGGAGTAGATGGTAGTGGAATAATAGCTGGATCGTAGGCTACTGCCGCTCTTCGAATAACTAGCCTCCTGATTGCCAATTCTCGTTTGCCGTATGTCACCTTCTCGTGTCGACAAGCTTCCTTCAGCTCCTCAATCGACAGGGAGTCGTAGAAGTCATGACATTCTTGTTCAAATTTCTCTTTACCCCCAACGCCACAGGATGCTGATATATGTTTGAGCGACAAGTCGATCTTCGATGGGGTGCTTGCCGACCCATGATCTGTACCTTGCTCACTCTTCAAAAGCTCTATTCTCGCTTTGGTCTCTTCGGTCAATTTTGTGTTCAATTTCTTCTTCGGTGTTACCATCAGCGGATTGTTCCCAATAGGAATATCTGGTCCTCGTTTCTGTTTCTCAACCAAGTTGAGCTTCGCCGCCATTCTCCTTAAAGAAAGGAGTTCTTCGTCTTCAACTTCGTCGGCAGGATCGAGGATCTTCGGAGCGATCAGGCGACGTAGCCTCTCCTTTTCAGCCTCAATCGCCTCGTTGCGCGCGCTCATCCTAGCTGCTCCTTTTCCTTTTCTTTCATACCTCTCCCTTTCTTCCTCCCTGTCCTTTCTCATTTCGCTCCGTACTATGCATAGCAACCGCGTATCTCGTTCCTCTTCTAGACGTAGTCTCTCTTCCTGCCTTAATAGTCTCCTATTCTCCTTGATCCGTCTCTCTCCTGCCTTGCCTCCTCAGCTTCCCGCTCGACGCGAAGTCTCCGTTCTTCTGCCATTTGTGCGAATTATTCCCGCATGAGTGCGTTCGTATCCTCACCCGCCGCACTCCTCTCATTACCACCTTCTGTCGATCTGCTCCGCCTTGTCATCGTATTCATGCCGACCGCCGCATGTCTCCCAGACCGTGCTTGAGTGTTCGCATGCGATGATGGTATGAACGCACGCCCCTGTGCCTTCGCTTGCCAAAACTCGGTGCAATCACGTATGAAGTGACCGCTCTCACCACACTTGTAGCACTTACGATTATCCAGTGGCAATCCACCGCCTCCACCCCCTTCCATATTCTCCCTCAATTCTGAACTCTCGCTCATCGACCAGCAAATCGCGAACTCTTCACCGAAACAGCAATTCACGAAATCTTCACCGAAACAGCTTCTATACTCGCCAAACGTAAGCCGCCACCTCCGCTAGGTATAATCGCCTAGATGGTTACGACCTTAACTGATAGGAAATCACAGACTGCAAAAGCGCAACAGCAGTACAGCACACTTGCACACCAAGAACGCTGTGTTGTATCATCAAGCGTCATCATTATTAAGAACAGACTCACGTTAACACGTGGCTGTTAACAGTGGTCAAACTTGAAGCTCAAAGAAGATGAGGGTGATGAATGATGCGATAACCCGTCGTCTTGTCGACGACCAAACCCAATCTTACTCCCCCACGGTCCACCCCCGTCGCATCTTCGCTACTCGGCGAAAGAGGAAACCGTCGGTCTTCGATATCCCTTATATCCTATGTCAACGCGACGTCCTCCTGCCTGAATGCTATTCCGTCAGTACCACACCACACCACACTACAGCCCTCCTGACAGCTCCAGGGTCAGAAAAGGTTCAAGTCCTCCCTGTCGGATCGTCACCCGGAAACCAAAAGGCGAAAAAAATGAAAAATTGAAAACGAAAAAACGAAAAACAGGGCCAACCTCGCTGCAGGTCCGCGGTTCGAGGCTGAAATAGTCCGAAGGTCAGGTCTACTGGTCCGAAGGACAAAACCTGGTCCGAATAGCTCAGCGTTACTCCCGCTCCCCTCGTACATTCTGCTCAGCAACGATCCCTTGTGGGACGGTACGACCCAACGGACAAACACAAACAATCCAATCGAAGTAACACTAACAATCCTACCGTTGGTCCACGAACTATCTACTCCATCAATATGGAAAGCAATTTGTCCTTGGTTCCAACGAACCACGGTCATCCATCAGTATGGCGAACAGCTTCCAGATCGGTTTTCTCCCCTGGAAAAAAGTCGAAAAAAGGACTAGAAAAAAACTAAGTATTTTTGAAGAAATACAAGGATTAAAAAAAGGACCAGAAAAAGTCAAATTAAAAAGTAAAAAAACGACCTAGAAAAAACCTCAAACAAGTCATAAAAAGTAGACGAGAGAAAGAAGGGACTAGACAAAAAAAGTCAAATAGTAGGTAGGCAAC